CCCTTAATTGTATATTTTCTAAGCTGTACGCAAATGTAGTTTTCTTTCTGATTTTTCTGGGGATTCTAAATATTTTTTCTCATCTGAAAGAGAACATATTCTTCAAAATAATGGCTCAATCATTCAATTTGATTGATTGCTAAAGAAGCGTATCGAAAAAAAAACTTTGGTCCCCCACCTCTATAAACATTTCTTAAGTGCGCGCCTGCGTTGATTGGCTGTAATTCAGGATTTGTAGGTCCAATTATAAATAACTAAATTTTTATAAAATCAAATTACAAATTATATTATAACATTATTGTAATAAGGTCGTAAATTCATCTTTCGAAATGACCATTTTATATTATTATTAATGAATAACGAAAATAGTTTTGTAGTACTTGCTTACTATATAAGCAATCGCCAATAATACAACCAGGTTCCAGGCTTTGGTCTTCTTTATGGACTTCCGGCATTGTTCTTGTCTTCTTCCATCTAATTCTCAGTGTCAGAATCTTTAGAACCAGAGGCGAGGGCGTGTTTAAGGGAGCACTAGCGGATCCAGGATTTAATTTTGGAGGGGCTTCAGCCCGAAACCTTTTTTTTTTCATAAAAATAACGATAATTATTTTGGAAAAACGGAAAGAAACTAACTACCTATATGAAATTGTAATTACACGAACAATAATACTTTAAGAGGTATTTTTAAAAAAAAATTTCCCATAAAACATGGTTATATTTTTCCATTTTGGGGAGAGAGGGGGCTTCAGCCCGAAAGCCCCCTCCCACCCCGTAGATCCGCCCGTGTAAGGGAGGATATAGACTGCTACTCCTTTCAACGTAGAAAACAATTAAAACAAAATAAAATTAATATAAAAAACAAATATCTGACAAATTAATTAAGAGTGAAGGGTTGGTAGTTAGGCAGCCCACAAGTGTCAGGATTAGGAGAGGGCTAATAGTCCAGTAAAATTAGGTATTGACCCCAACATTAAAAGAATAAAGATATAACTGTTAAAAAGTCCCAAAGAATCCCGTGTCGGGTTTTGATGGGGCGGTGGGATTTTAGGACAGAAAAAAGACATTTTTTTTAAGAATATCTCAAAAACTATGAGGTTTTCCGCAAAAATTAATTAATATTGCAATAAAGTGCTTTAAAATTTCTATAAAAATGGTCCTATACATTTTTTGGATAAAATCAATGGTTACGAAAATATTTATAAAAATGTATTTATTATATTTTCACTTGAGGCAAAAATAGCTTCAAACCACAAAATTGATATCGGTCAAGTTTAGATTGAAATTAATTTCATATAATTGATAATATGTGATAGAAGACATTAAAACTTGTGAAAATTTATCATAAACTATGGTGTGATTACACACAGATAACCAGAGATCTTAAACTTTGTAATTATCAAGCCAACCACGTTTTTTGTAGAATAAAAAGTTTAACTAAAAAAATGTTCAATTTAGGTTACACCCAATTACTTCATAGTAAACTAGATTAAATCTACATTAAATAAAAATAAATCTTATCTATTTTAAAATCATTTAAACGGGACTATTAAGCAGTTGAACTACGGTAAGTTCGGGGTTTCATAAAATCAAGATTCTTCGCGATTTTTTTTATAAACTCTCAACTGGACTAAAGATACTACCCTTTCGGAAAAACTTTCTTGTTTGATAAACTTTAAGTCTATAATTCATTAAGCTGTGGTTTGTTACAGAGTAAGTTGAGATTTATCCCTAATTGTGTTAAAATAGGTAAAAATATTTTTACCGTACTAATAATATTTTTACTCAATTAGAGAAAATGTAAACTCAAGTTAATTAATATAGACTTAAACATCAAATCAGAAAGTTTTTCCGAAAGGGTAGTATCTGCAGTCCAGTTGAGAGTTAATCAAAAAATCGCGAGAACCTTGATTTTATGAAACACCGAACACCATAGTTCAGCTGCTTAAAAGTCCCCTTTAAATGATTTTAAAATAGACAAGATTTGCTTGTATGTAATGTAGATTTAATCTAGTTTACTATGAAGTAATTTGTTGTAACCTAAATTGAATATTTTTTTATTTGTTGCTTTTTATTCAACATAAAACGTGATTAGCTTAAAAATTATAAAATTTAAGTTTTCTGGTTCTCTTTATGTAATCAGACCATGTTTAATTGTAAATTTTCATAAGGCTTAGTGTCTTCTATAATATATTATCAATTATATGGAATTAATGTTAATCTAAACGTCATATCATTATCATGAAACTCCCATTGATTGAAATCTAATATAATTCTGTTGTTAATGACCTTTTAAAATCAATAAAAGAAAGAAACTTTGAATAATAATTTGAAGGATCGAAAATGTTAACAAATTAATTAATTCAATACGGTATCGTCTACTATGAACAATATCAATTTTGTGGTCGTTCGCAACCACGTTTGTGTGCAAGTTGCGCCATCAAAATTCTTAAGGGAGGCATGTTTTGACGGGGTTTTGAGTTTTTGAGAGAGGACGAATTTCGACGGTGTTAAGATTTCGGACTAAGGTAGAAGGGGAAAACATAGAACAGGCCGCTGCAAGTGTAATTGCACATGATCTACGATTTTTCTAATTCTACCATAGCTTGCTCTGTTTTTCAGAAAAAGTGAGCAATAAAATATCTTTGGAGGAGGTGGGGAGGGTAGGTTCTTGCGCCATGGACCTTGGGAGGAATGGGCTCTGCTGAAAACCGCCAAACCTAGATCATTAGTCCATTTCACCTTTCGCAGTGTTCTCAACTCCTGTTGGAGAATCATCCTATCGTGCGGCATTAGACATTGTCCCACATCTTTATTTGAAGAAGTATAGGATGAAAATCGAAAAAATAGAGTATACTTTTGGCGGTTTAATGCATTAAGAAATTTATGATGGCATGGGAATGGTTGACCATGGTTTTAATTTAAAAAGTAGTTAGTGGGGAAGGTCAACGGACACACACATAATCTGTTGGTGTAATATATATTGGATAGCCTACGTTTCGACCTACGAGGTTCTGAAATATTTGACTTCAATAACAACCTGATATCTGATATCTTGGATCAATTTAACATCAACTCTTATTTTATCTGTTTATTATTTTTTTTAGCTTGTACCAATCAATAATAACTTTTTGTATCGTGTTCTTTTTAGTCCTAATGAAGACCTACAACGTTGGTTAAATCGTATGCTATCCAATAAATAATACACCAACATATTATGTGTGTGACTGTTGTCCACTCCGATTAAATATTCCTTAAAAATGGAAATTGCCGGAAAAACTTTATACTGTGTCATTGAGTCGGTCAAATTTATTGACATTGGCAGAAACTTGGAAAACCGACAAGCCAGAACTATTTGGCCCATGCAAATAATTCGTTTATTATTTTGGTTAGTTAGTTAGTGGTTAGTGGTTATTATTTCAATGCGGCTCTCTCATCTACCTCCATATCTTCCTGAAAGATTGCTCCCACCCCCACCTTAAGCTCTCTATCTTCATATCATGAGATATTGATTGATCAGTTTATGTAAGTAGTATTTTATCGATCCTTCTCCTTCGTCCATTAGTACTAGTATCACAGATAGCCCAGTTTATCATGCGGAGATTTTTTCTCTTAAATATTTCAATACTTCTTTCTAGAGTGCTGGTTAGTTTTCAGGTCTCATATACAAGTGTTGTAAAACCAACTTTATCATAGAAATGTATACTCTTAATGTGACATTTCTTGAGATTTTTTTGGATTTCAATAGCTTCGAAAGACAGAAAAAAGTTCTTTTTACATTTGTTAAACGCTGATCTATTGCCAATTATTCATGCAGGTTATTGTGGAGATCATGAATTTGAATTTAAAATAAATAAATATTTTATATTCTTTCTATTTTTGTCTCCGATCCGTGTCTGTCACGACCGCCCCAGTCGCCCCACCAACAAGCTCTAATTTCATATATAAAAATTTTAATTAAAGTGGCCCAATTTGATTTTTCATCTACCCAGAAAACTGACAGCAAAATTTTTCATAGGATGCGGTACCAAACATGAATTTGAAGCTCTAACACGAAATTTCTCTTAGCATTCCGAGTTCTAAATTTTTGAGGAGGGCATAGTTTGACTAGGTTTTGAATTTTTGAGAGGGCACCTTTCAACGGTTTGAATGAATTTGAATTTGAATGAATTTTCGGAATAAAAAGTTTTAAATCAGGAAACAAGGGCAAATATGAAACATACCATAACAAGTGTAGTTGTATACGATTTACGATTTTTTTTTTTTAAATTCTACTATAGCTTGCACTGTTTTTAAAAAGAAGTGAGGAGTAAAAGGCCAATATATGAGGGAGGAGGTACATACGCCATCGACCTTAAGAGGGATGGGCACCCCTGAGCGAATTATTTGGTGGTTCGCCTTCGACTTATTCGCAATTTGTCTGATTAACACAGGCCACGACTACTTTGGTGGTTCTATCCGCCTTCTGTCAGACCAAGTCTTTAATCTTATTCTGCCGACCGCCTGTTGTCGTAACAACTGTTCTGTCCTTAGCACCCAAGGAATAGCATTTATTCTTACTCTGGCGATTTGACCTTCCCAGAAAAAAAATATCCAAGTTGTTCGGATTTGATTGTTATTAACTCTAATTTTTCTTTATGTTTCGTTTTTTTGCCAGGTGATAAAGTTGTTGCCAAGCAACCAGGTGGAAATAACAAAACTTTTCTGAGGCTTGACATGTTTGTAATGATTGGCTTGTCATCGGTCATCAGATTCGTTAGATTAGGTAAAGGTATTTATAAAAGTTCAATTTGAAACATGGCATCTTCAGGTTCTAAAGTCGATTTATATTTTAGAGAAGGGTTACTGTTATTTATAGTTTACTAATAAATTATGAGGATGAGACAAAATTGTAAGGAATTTCAGTCACGATAATACTTATTGGATTAGCCTGTATGTTTTGCCTTATATTATGATATATATATATTGCTATATATTATGATTAATATTTTACTATAAAACAATTTTAATCGAAGGAAAGACTCAGTTGCTTTTTTATCCTTGATTTATTAAGAGGCTTGCATTTATGTTTCATTTTTGAATTGGCAGCAAATCTGCAACAAAAAGCTTAACGCAAATATTTATCATTCAAAAGGACAAAATTCTCAATGAGAGTATAAAATGTATCAAGAATGTAAAATGATTAGATTTTATTCATTAATTAAAAAATATATAAACTGTTAATTGAATTTTTTGTCGTTTCTTCGTTTTTAAAATCATTTAGCATAAAATAATTTCATTTCAAATCGTATGAATCAGAATTTTGTGTCATAAATAGATGTGATGTCAATTTGACATTGTCAAAACCTCCACACTTGTAAACATAACCTTATCTGTTGGACTGTTGGAAATATTTATAGGTACATAAAAATAATCACAAGGCGTATCTAATTAGACCTATCATTATATTTTTATTAGTTATATAATGTGTCTTGATAAATTTGACTAAGTAAAGTTTGGCTTATTAACGCTTATGTTTAATTTTGACCTTTATTAATAATCAGACATCATTTTTTTTTTCAGATTATGCCAGGTTTAACTCAGGATTCAGTGGACCCTCTTGATTCATTAGAATCTCAAATTGAAGAATTGGAGAGAAGAATTATCGGAGATTGTGAAATTTCTGATAAAGACACTCCCATTGTTGAATCCCTAATTCAAAGCAATAATGCCATACATAACGCCATATCAAGTCACAATACAATTAAAGCTCTCTTTGATAGATTAGATCAGTTAGGAAAGTTCCTTGACCCTTCATTTGAAGACTCTCTGATCGATACAGCATGCAAGAAAAAGGTTGTTTTAGAATCCGAGAAAGAATTACGTCAGTTCTTATTGCAATCAAAGAAACTTAGTGAATTAAATAATATCCTTAGTGGTGAGCCATTCAAGAAAGTTCCTAATTTAGTAGAACAACTTCGTAAAGTGTCCGAGGAAACATTGAGGACTCAAGGTGATTATGATAAGTTAAAAATAAAAGTTAAGGATCTCTCTGAGAACTATATTATTGCTGTTAAAGCATTGAGTAGATCATTCTATGTTTTCGAAACTCAACTCTCTGAATCTGAAGAAGGAGATAAAGTAAAAAAGCCAATTGATGATTAGTTTTTGTATTTAATTGGAAATGAATTTACAAAAAGAATTAAGGTACATCCACCTGCCTGACAATGAAACTTTTGCTGCTTTGAATGAATATAAACAACTATTATTATCACTCATCAATAAAAAGGTTTTATCTCTCACCGCAATCAACGGAAATACTGATTTTCTATGTAATAGTTCATTGGAAGAGATTATGTTCAAAAATGAAATCTTGTCAATTATAAATTCAACTGTCATTAAATTACCTGGTTTTTGTGTTTATGCTGGTTTAATTATTAGTTCAATGCTAATTAAGTTATGGTATGAGGCAAACCAGAACTTTGACCTACTAAAAATTACAAAAAGACTAATAGAATTCAAGGATATTCTGGAAGAATGCTTAAATAGTTTGAAATGCTCTAGTGTTAATGTTTTAAGTTTAGTATCTCTTCAGTTTAGTTTAAAAAAGTTATTGCTTCAGGAGCCAGCACTAATGTTAACTAAAGAATCGTTAAACAAACTTTCTTTTGAAATTGTAAAAGGAGTAATTGTTAAAATTGGTGTCGATGAAGTGTTCAATCCTGAGCAAGTTTATATTCTAGTTAGAAATGGACCTGAATATTTTTCTATGATCAACGGTGTTATTTGTGAGGTTGACGATACAACAAGTAACCTGATAAAAAGGACTATTCCTAAATTAAGTATTGAGAATAAGATGCTTCTATTTACAGAAAATATCTGTGATTCTGATAGATTTATGCTAATTCTTAATATAATCTTAAGTAATGAAATTAAGTTGATCATGTGCCAGAAAAAAATTTCTAGTTCATTAAAAGTGATATTTAGACGGAATAATATCATTGCAGTCGAAAGGATTGGACTTGAAGTAGCCAAATGTCTGGAACAGACAACCAATTGTGTCCCTATTTGCAGTATAAACAATTTAGAGATAAATAGCACTCTCGCTTATGCTGGCAGTTTCACCACATTTGACATTCAATGTTTGACTGGGTTAAACTATATTGTTATTGAGAAAGAAGGATGTAGATTTTCCACACTGTATATTAGTTGTAGGTCTTTCAGTAATTCATCCTACACTAAGAAAATTTGTCTCCACAGCATCAAGTTTGTCTACTCCATGATTAAAACTCCCTACTTATTACCTGGACCTATCACCTTTGAAGAAAAACTGATTAATTGCTTAAAAAATAAAATTGTTGCTGGTAAATTGATGAATGAGATAGTGTCTGTGTTTTGTAGTATATTGGATGAAATAAAGATTTCATTCAAAGATTCAAAGTGCGAATATGGTTCTTGTGAAGAGATTGAATCAAGTTGGGACTGTTATCGCATAAAGAAAAATGCTTTAATTTACAGTTTAGATACGGTAATTAATTGTCTTAGTATAGGTATGATTGTGAGAGTGTAAAAATTAAGTTATGTTTGTTTCCACTTTATTATTAAAATATCTTTTTTACCCATAGTATTTCTTTCTTACCTTCCAATAATCTTTAAGTAATTTCTATTTTTTATACACATCTAATCGAACGTTTTTCCAGCACTGTTTAATTTTCATTTCATTTTACCATTTTCAGTTATAGTTTTTATTTTTAGTTTAAATCAAAACTTAAAAATATTACTTATTAAAATTATTTGATTCCTTATTGGTGGTGTGAAATATTGATGCTAGCGTATACTTGATTGAAATAAAAGTCTAATTGATTTGTGCTGATTTTTATTTTTAATGTTCAAATAAAAAAATCACATTAGTATTAACATAACTTCAAGTTGATCCTATTGTCTGTAATAGAAATTTCTTTACAACATTGTTAGCTGTTGTTTAACCTACTGGCCATTATTAGAATAGTGGCTTCTCTTAATTAAGGATAAAACATGGCAGTTGAGTATGATCTCGGTCGAATTACTTTTTCACCCTCTTTGTACAACTTTTTACCTAATAACAGTAAATCAAATAAGATTAAATTGGTTAATTGTTGAAAGTATACCAAGCTAAGATAAAAGGTAGTCAATATATCAGCATGAATGCTTTTAGATTATATAAAAAAAAAAAAATCAAAAGTTTATCAGCTTTAATACAGTCATATCAGTATAAAAAAACGTATTCATTTAACAACCAAACTGTTTTTTTGTGATATTTGGATTATAGAATTGAAAGCTTTATTTATGATTTCTAAAAGCATCATTAAGATATTGGATCACTCATCAAAGTGGGTTATTTTGCACCTGTTTTGGGATAATCTGAATTTTTTACTCACTTATAGGAATCAGCAGAATTTGTTATGCCTTCCCTTATTGCATGTGTGATAGAAAAAGTAATTTTTTTTACACTGTGTTAGTATTTGATTTCAATATTCGTTTTTATATATTTTAAAGTTTATGGGTTGGTTAGAAGAATTGGCACTACTTTCTAAAACTCTGAATCGAAAATTGGTGAAATTTAAAGCTGTCTCCATCTGGAGTGCCCATTTCCTCTCCCCCAAGATATTTTATTGCTCCCCTTTTTTCTTCCCTAAAAAAAATCTAGGTCATATACAATTAAACTTCCAGCGGTCTTTTCCATGTTTCTCTTTTCTGTCTACTTTTCATTCTGAAAATTCATAACCCTGTCGAAATGTGCCCCTAAAAAATTGACAATCCCATTAATATGTGCCCCCCTCAAAAATTTTGATGGCACAACTTGTGCCATGAAACCCTCTTCTGGGAACTCTCGGTCTCTATCAAAGTTAAGAACCACTAAAAATTACTATTATAGCATATATATGTTATTTGTAGTATATTGCAAAGATGTTGAAAAAGAAAAAAAAAAATCAGGACAATTAGTACCACTTGCGAGGAGAATGTTGCTGGAGCGAAATATCTCTAATTTCTGGTACCAAATTACATGCAATCACATTTTTATAAAAATGGACAAAGGAGGAATTTAAAATTTGAAAAACTTAGTCATCACAGTCTAATTTTATATAAACTTACCAGGCCTTATTTTTTTGTACTGCCCCAAGAAAAAATAAATATACCGTCTTATTTTGATGCTCAAGTTAATGTTTTAATTCTTCTTCTTTTCACCTTCCTAGTGCTATTAGCTTAGAGGAACAAACCCATCTCACCCACCAATCTCTGTCATTGGCTTTTGCTTTCATTTGTTTCCTCTGATTTGTCCTTTTCTCTAGTAGTCATTATATTTAAATTATATCTTATATCATTAAATTAAAAAAGGTGTTATTATATTACAATGAAGCTTAAAAGTGAGAACGAGACATTTTCTTTTTTCTAACTTTCAACAATTAAAATATGTTCTCTATTAAACCTTGCCAGTAAAGTTTGAAAAGGGCTTATGGTCAGAGTGCCATTTTTTTTATTTCGTTAAATTATATCCATTAACTTAACGTGTTACATTGGTGTTATTTATGATACTGCAAATAAGGGAGGTTTTCCAGAAGTATTTATCTCGGAATGAAATAATATAAACAGAATAATAGAATAGAGAACAAATTTATTGTCTTAGTTTCACTTAGTGAGATTAGTGTACTGTACCAAGTCTTAAATTCAGAGCTCTGTAAAGAAGTACTGTTTCTTGGTTATTGGTTGCTAAAGGAGGTAATTTGACAGTGATCACAGCCAATAGTCAGGTTTATCCTCTTAATTAATAATTTAATTAAGAGTACCCACTTTATAGACACTGGGTGTGCCCCAGAATGGTCTCCTTACTCCAGGCTGGTGTAACAGGATTAACAACACTGCTAGACTCAAATCTAGAGCTTAGTGCTGAGCCATCCTGCTTTCTAACATTTATGTACTAACAAACAGAAATCACTTTTAGGAAAAGTTTTAAAATGAATGAAAAATATGTATTCATTTATTAAGTAAAATATAATCAGCTAAAAGTACTTTTATAACACCAGTTTAAGATAAACTTCATGATTATAATAAAAAAGAAACATATAAGTTGTTGAATGCAAAAGTAATAATTTGTGGTACAGACCCCTTTTTATCATATTATTACCATTTGACTAGTAGTTCATAAATAGCTTTATCTCATCGTAACCACAACTATTTTATTTTCAAGAATTTTCGGAAGGTTAGCAAATTTTGTCTATTTTAATTAGGTATTAAAAACTCAGAAATACCCATTTGCTTTCCACTTCAATGGTAAGATAATTTGAGCACAAATTTTTTTTTTTTATTTCTTAATGACATTTCCAACTGTATTAAATAAATACATCAAGTAAATTTGGACAAAATAGATATAATGACATGAATACACTTGTTGAGTAACTACCCAATGGTAGCACTCTAATGATATGACTACATTAGGCGATCACGGGGCCATCTTCTTTTCAGACGCCTCGGAGGGTTATCAGGAATTGAAGAGGAAGCAAGGTTAGAAACGAGAGGGTTGGGATAATTCTGAAGTTTATTATGTATGGAAGGATAGGTATCTGGATTGGGCAAGATCTGAAACATAAGGAACATTAAGATCTTTATGGATAATTTTATTAGTGACAAAGTAAGGAGCATTGAGGATTGGATGCGAGAGGAATTCGATGGTTAGTGGAGCCCCATAGCTCAACTCCGTTAGTCCAAATAGGTCTTATTATAGTCAAGTATATGAGTCTTTTGTAATTAATGGGAAGTTTAAAGTGTTTGTCTAGTAAGTGCTGAAGTAATCGGAAACGTCGAGCGGTTTCTTGTCATTTCAGTCTAGTATGAGGATTCCAAGTTAGTCGTTTGTCCAGGTGGAGTCCTAGGTATCAGATTTGCTCAACAGGGATAAGTGGAGTATTGTTAAAGGAAACTGTAGGACAGGAAATCGTTGGTTTATGACGAAGGGTAGAGGTAATTTGGTGGGATTTATTGGAGTTTATTTTAATTCTCCAGTTTTGACACCATTCTTCTAGATTTATGATGTGTGATTGAAGCATTTGGGATGCAATTGCTGGGTCATTGTTTACTGATAGGATACATGTGTCATCGGCATATGTGATGATGACAGTGTTGGGACAGGTAGGGATTTCAGCTGTATAAACTGTATAAAGGATAGGGCCTAGGATACTACCTTGAGGAACACCAGCGGACTGGGAGAGCACAAAATAAAACAAAAAGGTGGCCTTAATTTTTTTTTGGTTGGTGGAGTGGCAGAGTGGACAAGGTGTTTGCAAAACACAAGTTGCCCAGTAACCTGATAAACCAAAGGTTACAAGCTATAATATAATAATTATGAGCTTGTGTCCTGGTGCTAGAGGGGCTTTAACTCTGACATAAATCCCCACCCTCTCCCCTGGCTCAGGTCGGTCCAATATAATCTAAAAGGCAAGGAAGAGGTGGAGGAAAACAAAATAAGGTACAGAATCTTTTCAGTAACCTTCCCCTTTTTCCTTTCATGGTTGTTGTGGAATAGATCTTGTTAATTAAGATTAGAAACAAATATATTAAATATTTTTTATTGAACTAATAAATTCCAGTGGAATTTATTTATTTTTTTTATAGGATTAAGTTAGAGGTATCTTAACAAATGAACACCTTATTTTTAATTTAAATCTCTTCAATGCCCTTAATTTATTTCAGATCTTGTTAAAAATATATAGTTTAGTTATTTGGATTACATGATAGCAACCTAAGGTTGAAAGTTTCCCGAATAACAAGAATGGATGGCCTCCAAGTAGTTCTGAATAATATTAATCTGGATATAATTAAAAACATTTCTTAAGTACTGTTCTCTTTTATCAAAAATGTAACTTGTGATGGCCATTTCAATAAAGTGGTTGAGGAGAAGGTAGGTTCCAAAGAAAAGTATTTTAATATCACTAGAGCTATATTTTACAGTCATTTTCTCAAATTTTTTTTTTTTTTTTTATAAATCATAGATGTTTTCCATACACAGTGTTTAGCTAAACAAGCAGAAACCCTAACATACATAAATTCAGTTTCCGATCTTTTAATCCCTATCCACAGAATGGCTCCTTAGCTGTAGATACCTATCATCTCAAATATACACAGATAAACATAACATAAAAAATAAAACATTATTAAACAATAAGACCATTTACATCTATGAACATACTAAAAAAAAAAAAAAAAAAAAGCCCGATTCAATACATTTAAAAAGATGAATAAAACATCCAAAAATTTTGTTTTCTTTACAGTTCCACATTAAAAATACTATTGTCTGAAAGAGATAAGAGGAAAAGAGAATCATGTTTTTTTCATCAAAAAGACCAATTTTTCTTAATTCTAGAGCTTAAATTTCCTTTAATGCATTGTTATTAAAAAGTTTACAGAAATATATTGACGTAGATCTTGTTTTAATGGTGATTAAAATTGGAAAGCTCAATAATATCTCTTTAGTTAACAAATTAAAATATATATATTTAAAATCATTCAAAGTTATGAAGAACATTAGACATTTGTGATTTTTATACACAGTATTACATTATCAAAAAATGGTATTGTCCTTCTCGATGAAGGAAATTTTCGACATAGGCAACTACATATAATATCTCTCAATACACAAGCTATTGACTTCAAATTCTATTAAAAATAATACATTCTTTTAATGCGCTACATTTTTTTCTTAAAATTATTTTCGATTTCTATGTAAAATAGTTTCACCTAACAAAGAATACAATCAAAATAGAACTTAAAAACAGTTATCACAATATTTTAATCGCCTTAAGCAATTTTATATAAGGTTTTACATTACAGTACAAAATTTGATCACTACTTGACATAACAAACAAGTTATGTTATTTCAAGGATACTATTTAATATATCTCAATGCATAAAAATATTAAAAAATATTTTTATAATATATACAAATAATTCTAAGTTGAATTTCCTAAGAGAGATGAAAGAAAAAACACTTAATATGTTTTGTTCTTTAATTTTTTATTTACTTGTTTTACTACTCCATTATACATACATATATATATAATATTCATTATATATATATAATATATTCATAGTATTGAGAACATAGTGTTGCACACAATATTTACATCTGAGTGATACTTGTACTCCAGTGAAAGCCATGTAACAAACAGGTCACACATTATGCCACACAATACAATTTAAATGTACTAGTACCCAAACAAAATTATTAACAATAATTTAGTCATAAAATATAAACATAATAAATACTAATAAATACTAATTGGATTAACTAATTTTTTAAAAAGACTAACTATACAATATGAGTCTTAAAAAATAAATTGGTCAATTCAAAGAACTTCATCTTTTACAACATTACTGATAACAGTAAAAACACAGAAATAGAAAAAAAAATTATCAACATAAGAAAAAAAAATACATAGAAATTGTTTATAGAAAAAAAATATAAACAGATGGGATGGATTAGGCAATAAACTTTTTAAACTATAACATGGCTAAAAGAATAGAAAAACATTATAAACACTTGCCAATAAAGGTCATTCCGCTCAATAATAAAATATTGTACCTGAAAATACAAAGTAACAAAACAATAAATAAAGAACACAATAGCTTATAATATTTCTTTCAAGTGAGGAATCAATAATAAAATGTTCATTTCAATATTGCACATTCAGAAACCAATAAGTCGGCAAAATATTTTGCTATACGACCTGAGTTTTAAATTTGATATGATATGTGCTTGTAATAAGATAAAATTAAAACGGTTCAAAAACATTAAGCTTTCCTAATTCTATAAAGAGGATCTGCCTACAAATTTCAAAAAAATACATTTTGTTCAGGTTCGATACCTGGGAAAGGTATGTACATGGGAGAATCTTAATAACAGTCTTGTGCTAGAATCTAATTGAATATCAGCTTTACGTAGCCAGGGTAGCCCTGAAGAGGTGTCGCGCAGAACGGACAAAATGAATCGAAAGCAGAAGTCCCGTGCGGGATCTGAACAATAGCCCAATACCTGAAACATAATTAGATATGTAATTATTTTTTTTAAAATCTCGTACATTAGAATATTGTAATACTAGAGCATGCAGTAATACACTGAATTCAGATATTACTTATATATTATGGATATAGGTCTTGTTGATACCAGTAATTATTTTCAAAATAGGTCAAACATATAAATTTTTCATATCTTAACACTTCTCAAAAAAAAAAAATAAATAAAAAAAAAAAATAAATAAAAAAAAATAAATGAAAGCGAATCTAGATGTTAAAATACAGCTTTAACCCATTTGGGGAAGTGATAATTGATGAAATGTTATGTTAGTTGACCGAATTGAAACTATTTTCTACATTTTTTCACTTCAATAGATCTGACTATCAATGCAACTCATTGAGTGGGCGGGGTAGCCGAATGGGCTAAGGCGCTTGCACTGCACCGTCGTTGTCCGGCAACCTGATATCTGGACAAATGATATAAAAATAGCCACGAGTTCGCGTCCTGGTGCCGAGGGAGTCTTTTAAATCACCGCCCACACTCCCTGGCCCGGGAAAACCCCGTATAGCCTTAACGGCGAGGAAGAGGACAAAACAAAAACAAAAAAAAAATGCAACTCATTGATAAAACCAAAATACTCTGTTTATAATAAAATGAAACCAGTTTTAACTGATACCCTTCTCTATGATTAATATTTAGATGTCCCAGGCGTGAAGGAATAGGAATTTCAACTCCTTTTCCAAAGGATACCCCACCGACGGACGTGGACTGCCAAAGTTTTGTCACCAAGAGATAAATTTATCTTTCTTAATCAATAAATGCATATATTCAATATGTACATATCTTGAATTTATTACTTGATAAAACTTTAAGCCATAATGCTGTCATCATATCAATGAAATTACTTTTTATTTTGTAATTCTGGTCAAATAATGAATATATTCCTAAAAGTGAAATTGGAATGAACTATTGAATGGACTGTTTGTAATTTTCAATCCTCTGCTCATCTTTCAACTTTAAAACCTGTAACTCCTCAGTTGTATTTTTTTTTTTTTTTTTTTTACTGTAAAAGAAAAAAATAGTAGTAGTAAATTTATCACTAATGACTCCCCAATTTTTCGGCCCTTTTGTATAACAGATTGATTTTGTTAGGATGCCATTGTAGAGATTTAATCAAAAACAATATCTACAAAGAATCATAAAACAATTATCTATATCATGTTCCATCTAATAAAAATTTATATTGAGGTTAAGTACCAGGGCCAGAACTACAGAGGAACCCACTTGCCTTGGCCGGCAAAGTTAAGAGGGTGGCAAATTTCAAGTGAATTTTTACCTGAATAGAGTCAAAAATATTTATTTCTGATTATTTTAGCACAGTCAATAAAATGATTTAACTTATGAGATGATGATATGAGACATAAAATATATAACCAAAAATACTGGTATAAAACTGTTTACTGGAGGTAAATTAGGAAGAATGATAAAAGAGGCAGCGAAGTTAAGCTTACCCCTCCAGCAAAAATATTAGTTCTGCCTCTCTAATAAGAATATGAAGATAATAAGGTGAAACAGTAGCTGAACAGTTATTTATATAACTATTTATGGCTAAGTACTTGATACAATCTTGAACAGATAAACCAAAAAATATTTTTAAAAAAAATCGTACTTGACAGTTTTTTCAGTAGCCATATGACCACAAGGATTGAAAGCATAAAATGTAGGTGGTCCTGAATCAACATAAAATGCTGGCTCTATTCCCATTGAAAGTTTCACCATTGGTCCACTCTGAAAAAAATAAATATTCATTAGTGAAATGTAAAATATATTAAATTAAAATCATTATTTTACATAATCGTATATGAATGGAATTTGAAAATAATAAAATTTAAGGAATAAGTAGTTGTAGGTTACAGTACAAGTTTTTTGCATATGTCTCTGTCAGAGTTAGCACAATGCAAGATAGAAGAGAATTTACAGTGAATAGTTTATATTAAATCTTTAAATAATTTTTTTACCTTGAAACACATGGAGCACGTTCTCGAATTGGAACCCTTTTCCACACCCCAATCATGCAGCCCCTGGACATGGCCACAGTTAAGGTAAACATAAGGCTGTTTATCCTGTTTGTCTGCGTCCTGGCTTGATTTGCGAGGGATGACAAGGGTATTCAGACCCACGGGGCACATTGGTCGCTCTGCATTAACTTTATCAACAAGGGACTCCAGGTATTCTTTAGTCTGAAAAAGAAACAATCAGATAACCAACTTATACTTCTCTTACATTAACCATATGTTAATCATAAAGCACTACTAATAAATGTAAATTGAAATAAAATTTATCAAAATCAAATTAATTCTTAAGGGTAGAATTTTGTCTATACTCCTCTATCCTATGCTTCAAACTGGAATGTGCTCAGTCCAACTAACTTACCAAATAAATATCAAAGAATGAATGAAACTAATTTTATTATTCTGGGACTAGTGTCCCTTTAAGTTACAAATACAGAATATATATTAGTATTCTGGTGTGACCATAAAATACAATTTAATATTTACAGGATGATTAGGAATACAATAAAATTATAGATAATAAACAGATATAAAAACGTGTGTAAATATAAAATAAACAAAGAAAGTAAATTAAGTAAACAAAATATAAATGGATCACAAAATAATTGAGTATCTGGGTGTACTTTGAGATTCTTACAGCTTAGGTTTTTTAGTGCATTTCGTGATCAATCGGATTGGAATGGAGTAGGTGTTTGAAGAGGAGAAATTTAGTTCGTTCAGATCTACTGGATAAAGTGTGCAAGTTTTGGAGCTTATAAGACAGAGGTTTCTGAGGTTTGTCCATTTCAAATTTGGTGTTTGGAATAGTACATTGTCAAAGTATTGCGCTTTGGCACGGCATAAGGATATTTGTGTGCTGGTTTGTAGGGATTAGGTGTCCCTAAATACAGTCGTGTACGTCTGTATCGTCTTCTGGCAGCCCCTCTTCTTCTCACCAACTCTCTAACTTCTGAATTTATCCAGTAATAAGTGTAATAAATTGACGTGAATAATATATTGATAGTTACAAATTTAATATTTAAAATCATGTTCAACATTTGAATAACTTAAAAAAAATTAAACTCACAAATTACCAATTGAAAATTTGTACGATTCAGAAAACAATTACTATAAATTTTATAATAATATTATTAAGCAATAAATTTACATAAATATTGAAAAGACAAAAAAGCTTACGGGTGATTTAGCAAGACCTTCTGCAGACCTCCATAGCAGAGTAGCTCCACATAGATCTATTAATGTTCCATCCTGAAGCACATTACTAACACCTTCAACCTAGGCAGAAAAATATAATTATACAAAAACTAAATTAAATTTGAAAAATCATCTAAGTATTAATATTTGATAAAATTAACTGATATATTGAATTAATAATTAAGAAGGATGAGATATTAGTACCGTATCTGTTTTTATTTAAATATTATATTTGTATTTTATAGTATTTGGTACAATTATAACAAATTCTGATAAAATCATTGGTCATTATTGCTGGAATTTCATGACTCCTTCTATTAAACTTTCACCATCTTGAACCAAGACAACACAATATTTCTCTTTTTTAGATTTTTCTTAATTTATTTTCTCTCATGCCAAACCATTGATTTTGCCACTCCAGCCATCCTTTTTCATTGATCCAAGATATTAGATCGTGGCGATCACTTATTGAAAATACTTGACCATTTTTTATTACTCGATTTGCCTGGGTGTCTGCATTTTCATTTCTAGGAACTCCACTGTGACGAGGTATCCATAAAAACAATACTCTACAACCAGCGTCTTTCAATGTTTTTAAGTAGAGATATAATATATTAATTTTTTACTCTTTATTCTTTCACTGTCATTTGCAACTGCACAGTAACGCATCTAGCATAACTGGTGTCTCTGTTTTGTTTTCTTTTAATTAATACATAGAATGATAATTGGCTTTGATTTAAGTTTTTTCTAACTAGTGAAGCAGATCTCTGATTTACTTTATTTGCTTGCTCACTAATAAAGATAGAAAATATTTGTAATTGTTTGGAAGTTTAAAAAATTGATTCTGCTCAGAATTGAAATTTTCAAGTTATGATGGGTTATACCCAGATGGTCCCATATCAATTTCATGATAATCCATTCATTACTTACACGTACTCATGTGTAAATATACTTTCTATTAAATGCCCATACTTTAAAAACAACTTGTTCGATTTGGACTAAAGTTGGAGATATGACAAAGAATAATGCGATAACATTTTATCAAATTCCATCTATTACTTCCTCTTACTTATGCACAAAACGTAATATTTCGTTGGTATGCCTCTACCTCGAATCCCCCACGTTCGACTTGGCACAAACTTGGAAGGAAGTTGAGGATTAATGGAAAAGATAGAGTATGTATCAATTTTAGCAGTTGAATGTGAGTTGAAGAGTGAAATGTGGTGAATTTATCGTGGAAGTTCGATTTGACTACTGAAATATTCATGTTGTTGAGTACATTGTCATTTTAAATAAACCACGCTTCATGAATAATTACTCAAAGAATTTCAGATTGTATAGTTTTCATTTTTTTCGTAAGAACATGTTTTACTGAACTACAAGTTCTGACCTTGAATTAAGTAAGTTTCAGAAGATGTGACAATTAATTGTATTATTTCACCAATTTTGTCTTTTTCATTCTGAATGTGTGTTCTAAATGAATCTATTGCATAAGATACCACACATGTATTTTTTAAGATATCCGGTTGTAGATCCTTATAGGCGCACAAGAGATGGAGGAAAGGACTGACTTGAAATGCTACATTATGGGTCACCTGTAAGTTGAATAAAGAAAAGAAAAATAGAAGAATCAAAGAAAATACAGAAAAAATCTGTAAAGGAAGAAAGATTAGAAATGTAGAAGGGATGTGAGATTTCATTTTCCATAATAAGACACATGTGCCAAACATTATGAAAAGCTTTTTCAATGTCAGCAAGATTGCAGAGCTATTTTTTTTCTCTCAAAAGTAACAGAAATTCACTACATGATGATACTGATTTACAATAATGAAAACCAAATTGGTAGTGTGGTATCACTTTAAAACTTTCTAGGATATCTGACTTGGAAAAAGTTTTTCAAATATATTTTCCATTATAGGTAGAAGTGCAGTAGGATGAAGGATTAGTAGTGGGGATTTGAGATTTGAAATTATGGGACAGGATGAAGTTATAGACGTCGGTGAGAAAGAGAACAGCTCTTAGGGGGTGGTGACCAAGAAGGGATTGATGGGATCATGGGCATTGTACAAATATAAACATGTTTTAACTTTTCCAAATAGCTGCCTTTTACCTTATAGTTTAAATTTCTATTTCAGCAGTTTAGGTTCAAATTCTGACCAATTGTGGAAAAGAGGCTCATTCTTAAGGACCCTCAATCTTCCAATCCCAACAAAAACAACCTTGCCCTCTTTGGTTAAACTCCTTCCAAAAAGTTGTCAACAGTGTCTTGTCTGCATTGACACTAAGGTATACACAAATGCAATAATAACATATAAATATAGGCTCCATAAAATAAAAAATTCAAATTTAAAAGTATCATGGACTCACAACACCACATGATACAGCCCATAACATCAAAGAAATAAGAAATAAATAAAAAGTCCTTTATTTATTTAATCTCCTTCTCTTCTATACCACATATCAGTGTGAGGATCCCTTCGGAAGAGCTTGGCCCAGTAATTTTTATTCTTAACATCTATCTTCTCCTTCCCCATTCTAGTCCTCTTCTGTCAAAGGCCTCCCGGATTGCGCCTTCACAGTCTCCCCTTGGCCTCTGCCCTTTCATCATTGTTTCATATGCAACCTTTAGTACTCAGTCGTTCCAGAAACATTGCTGAACCATCTCAGCAGTTGTTGCTTGATGATATACTCAGCTGGCCAAAGTTTCAGGTTTGACCTCATTTTCTCATTTCAGACTCTGTCTCTTCTTGTCTTTCTCTCCATTCTTCTCAAGTACCACATCTACATAGCTTGAACATGGCTCTTGTGTTTTGTGGTGAGAATCCAAGATTCAGTTAAGTAGGTGTGAATTAGTAAGAAAGTGTTTTTGTAAATTACCTTATTTGTGTTTTGACATTTATTTTTTTTTTTCAATAAAACCTTTCTTAAGAGAGTTGAAAAACTTATAAATAAATACTCACTGCTTTGCCTTTTTGTTGAGCTGATCTTGATTCCCTAAGCGTGTAGACACCACCACCAACAGATACCTCTTTCCAAATGCCTGGTTCTGCATCACCCCCACAAAACTGGCCTTGCGGATGCATAATCAACACTCCATTAGTAGTTAGGCCGTCAATATCATGTCCTTCCTGCCATTTTGTTGCTTTTTCCTACAAAAAGAAATGAAAAAATAAAACCATGAAGTAATAGAAATCAGTATTGATAACAATCAAAATATAAAAATTCATTAATATGTATTCTTTCAATAAAAAAAAACAAATACAACTTGGGAAAAACGTCTTATCTGTATCTTTTCTAAACTTTTGAAGAGAAGTACTATGGAACTTCAAAGGAAGGGAAATGAAGGTAGAATTTTATAAAAAGTAAAAGAGGCATGAAATTTCCTGATGTTGAATTTCAGGCTAAAAATGGCTGGCACAATAATGAAAACAAACGACACAATACTGTTTTAAAGAATACATACGGTGATAGTGGCCCTGGTCCCGAAGTTCAAAATACAATTACATTAAATATTATATGTAGAACCTATTAAATATTTCATACACAAAGACGGAACAGCGACGATGTTTTCGGCCCGTTCCGGGTCAGCCCGCCTCTATTTGTATCACTTAATACCAGAGGTAAAAAGTAAACATTGGCAAATCAGTATGGCTGCTGGCAGCAATGGGTGTGGAACTGACCATATGATGTTCTCCGTCTCATCACAATGTACCTGGCAAACTCAATGGTTTCATCTCACCAGGTTGTGACGGCGACTTCCCGCCTCTGGGACATTATCCTGCAGGAGAACTCTCGTCAGCTGCAAGACGTAATATGAGCCGGCTGGAGGTGAATTTGTGTATTTTAATTTAGAAGAGCTTTAAGGTGAGTGGCGCCCCTCTAAAAACAGTTATACAGTGAGGCTGAACTCTGTTATATATACTGCTTCATACAATGCTCCTTCAGAGCACTTAATAGTGTAATGGATAGTATCTTATTTTACAATACCAAATTGTCAGGTTCAGTACCGGGTTTTCATCATTCTCTTTTGTTGTATATTAAATATTATAATTTTAGATTTATATAAATATAAATTATGGCCATGTATAATATAATTTTAAAACAATTAAATTAACATCTGGGTTTTTCTCATTCATTATTATTTTGTATCAAGAGAAATAGTATTAATTTATTCTTTCATTTATTAATTTGTTATCATGATTATTTCATTTATTATTTTCAATATATTTATATTTTCTGCTATTCCGTTTTTTTATACATTTATCCTCAATGGATTTCCTTTTAATAATTTGTAAAGGTTTAAAATTAAATTAATTAATAAATCAATAACCAGTGCCTATAGATTTGAAAGAGCAGATTTGGTGGTCCACTTTTGAACGCCCGCTATGAACGATGTAACATATCGTATATTATTAAATCCAATAAATACATGAAACAAATGATTTTGGGCTTTACGAAGAACACACACTTCAGGTCTGTCTTTAATTTTTGGTTATTTATAAGTGCAGCTTATGTGAAAATTGACTATTTATTGTGTATTTGGGACAATTTGAGGGCGTGTGCTCCATATACTAAAAGGAAATTGATATTGTTATAAAATATCGGGAGACTAGGCATCCTGTTTAATTGCCCAGAGCTCTTAGCTATAATATCAAAAAGCTCCAATATGTCATCAAGTACACTTGGCGTAATGAAACCAACAACTCTAAAGTAGAAAGAAAAGGGAAATATTGAAGAAAAAAAAATAGCAATTCAAAAGTCCCATCTAACGCCAATCCAATAGAAACAACAACCAGCAATTCCAAAGTCACCGCTAAAGAAATATTTTCCAAAAGAGAATATGCCATAGTTTTACACTCCCACCCTGAAATAAAGCAGAAGGAATATGTACTTAAAATTGCAACTTTAATTGACCCCAAATTTATTCGTTACACATCAAGAATTTCTAATTCCAGATTTTGCATACACTTTAGTAATAAAGAAGTAATAGATAACCTTCTCAAAAACCATAAATCAATATTCATAGATAATTAAGACATTTTCATAAAATGACTAATAAATGCAACAAAACGCATCATTATTTGCGACACTTGCCCTTCAATACCACACGAGACAATAGAAAGAGATCTTAAAAACCTAGGTATAAGGTTAATAACGCTGATGCATTTTCTTAGAGTCCGGTACCAAGACCCAAGATTGGTCCATGTATTAACTTTTAGACGACAGGTTTATATTCTACCTGACGACCTGATCAAACTCCCATGGTCACTACTAATAGAACATGAAAATGTAACATATCGTATATTTTTTAGTGAAGACATTGTCACATGTTTTATTTGTAAGTAGCTGGGCCACATATCTATTGACTGCCCCCTGACTGTAAAAATGACGATGAGATTCAAGATGTACAAAACAAAGAAGATGAAGGCTTATTAATACATTTCAATCCTGATACAAACTGTAACAGTGAAAAACAATTGCCGATCGCTCCTAATGTTAGATACATACCAAGACATTGAAAATATTGTCAATTTTGAAGACTTTCCACTGATAGAAACTATTCAATCAGCTAGCAAAAAACTGAAGAAATCAAAGAAGGCAATTGGAAATATTAGAACACAAGGGTGTTCTGAAAAATTTCCGACCTAACAAAAATACAAGACATTTTTTCTGAAATTTTTTATTTTTATTTTTCAACAGTCTCCTTGTAACTCTACACACTTCTCCCAGTGATGCTCCCATCTCTGTAACCCGTTGGCGTTTTTCTCTGCAAAATAATTGTTCAGGTGGTTGCCTCTTCATTTGAAGAAAATCGAAAATCGCAGTCGCCATCACTTTCCCGGCCGAGAAAACAGTTGACATGTTCATAACCTCTGCTATCTCTCTCACTTTAATTCGGCGGTCGTCTAGCACCATTTGGTGAACTTTGGCGAGGATTTCGTCAGTAGTTGCAGTTTTTGGACGTCCCAAACGTTCATCGTCTCCCAAGCTCTTACGGCCACTTTTAAATTCAGCTACCCAAAATTTCACTATGGTAAATGATGATGCAGAGAGTCCCCATACACAGAACCCAATTCATCTTTGATTTGTGCAGGGGTATTGCCTTTCAAAAAACAAATATTTAATGACAGCTCGATACTCAATTTTGTCCATTTTCACGAAAACACTCACATCAATTCACTCGAACGACTGTTATGTCCATTATGTGCTCCAAAATGGCTGAAACTTTGGTGGGGAACTGTCAACAGATGAACAACGAAATTCACTTGCTTTTATTTACGAGTGCTGCCATCTTCACGTTGTGGTCGGAAACTTTTCAGACCCTCCTTGTAATGTGCACAGACGTTGCCCGGCAATCTGATATATCACAATATGATGATATAAAAGTAATCACGAGTCTGCGGCCCGGTGCCAAGGGAGTCTTTTAAAAGAAAAAAACACAGAACACAGAAGATAGCTCTGACAACTAATTAGTCCACCAAATTGTTAAACATATACCTGCTAAATCTTTTTTGATTATTTAAATAAATGTTTTAAGATGATGGCAAAAATTATGAAACATTAATTACACAGTGGAATTGTAATGGATTTTACAAACATTACGAATATTTTAAATTATTACTTACAGAAGGGAAACAGTTTTTAGAATCCCAGACAACAATGTTAATATTATAACAAATTTTCTTGAAAGAGAATACATTCTTTTTGGAAAAGTCACAAATTTCTTATGGGTTCCATCACATTTGGGCATTGGAGAGAAATGAGGAAGCTGATCTGGTCGGGAATTGCACTAGAACGGATCCTGGTACCGAAGTGACGTATGCCAATAAGACTACTCCCCTAGATTGGCTAACTACGTGAAGAAAAGAATATATGAATCATGGACCACTGAGTGGAGCAGAAGAGGCATTATCTGTATTTATTTCTTAAATTTAATCTGAATAAATCTGTATTTATTTATTAAATATTTCTTTTAAAATATGTAGTTTATTAAGATACCATTAACAATGTAATACTAGATGTTAAAAAAAATCCTAAACTGAATATACCAATGCTACGTTGTATGCTAATGACCCAGTATGGGTAGATGCATTTGTTAAAATAAATAAAAATTATTTTGGAAATCTGATTACAAACAAAATAAATGATTAAATGATGCTTAATAAGGTCAACTTACACCAAGAAATATATTTCTAGAAGAATCAAAACCAGCTGCATATATTCTTGATTCCTTAGGGTTGTTCCTGTTTGCGAGGATTCTGCAAGCAAACCTTGAAATGGTACTGGCTAGAACTCTCCCCTCAGAACACTTTTCACCTCCTGGCACTGTGTCCATCACGACAAAATCTATAGGAGGTTCCGATGATCTGCCAATCTGTGCAAAGTATAATGATGAATTAAAATATATTTGTTATAATAAAAATCATACAAAATACAATTGTTAAAAGAAACATAATCAAATAAAAATTTATAAATAATTTAATATCATCCTGTCATGTGAATTTAATAAAAATCATACAAAATACAATTGTTAAAAGAAACATAATCAAATAAAAATTTATAAATAATTTAATATCATCCTGTCATGTGAATATCAATAAATAAAATTTATAAACTTTTTTTTAATATAAAAAAGTTATAATAAAAATCATTAAAAAAAAATTGTTAAAACAAACATAAATAAATAAAGAAATTATTAGGGTAATAAGTGGGAGAACATGGGTTGACTGTACACTAGATTTTATGAATAATGACTTTAAATAACTGTAATATCTTTATTTTAAAACTAGATTTTTACTTGAAATTAAGAAAATGTTCTAGGGACTTTTTGAATATTTAAATAATAATATGTATTACACATACAAGCCTAAATATTCATGTTTAAATATATCACTCAGACCCAAGTTTATCACCATATTCATTTTTATGAGGTTGATAATTTAATTTTGTAATATCCAATATACAGTTGCCTCTCTTGACCTTATGATAAGTCCAAACTAGTTGTTCGAGATTATTATTTAACAATCTTCTGTGATTCATGAAAATGGAATGTGGAACATAATTAAATAAATTTATTGGAAAAAAGAACTTATATTTCAATGCACTAGCCTGCAGTTGCCCTAGTTGAACATGATAGTATGAGGAAGGGCACAAAATAGGCATTAGCCCCACAACAGAGATCATAACTTGTTCTAACAATAATTTTTTTTCCAGAAAAATGCAGACAAGCGGCATAACTAGACCATTTGAGATCTCTTAAAAAAATATCCTCTGGTGTCTGTTCCTCTCAGCCCTCCTGAATGCTGTTGAATTTCCTCTTATTTTTATTAAATACATTACTCCAGATATTTTTGACAGGTGAAACAGGGATGAGATGTAAATGTAAAGTATTAATTCAGATAGGAACTATATATAATGAGAAAATATAACACACAATAGTTTTCATTCATGGAATAATTTTAAGTAATATATGAAACTCAAGCGTTACAATGTGCTGATCTGGAAGGTTTAAGACTTTATATAGAGCAATAACAATCCATCTGGACAACTTTAGGTAATAAAACAAATACAGCTCTCCATTTATATCATTTTCAGTCACTACAAATAAAGCACTGAGACAAATTAGTAGGCATATTGGAGTTGACTAAGGAGAAGTCTGTTTTTTCCACAGACAACTATACTAACCTGCTTAGTAAGGTGGCAATATCTTACAAAGAGTAACCTTTCAGATTTACACATCATTGTAATCATACAAACTTGTTTTAAAACTGAATATCATTTTAAAAATGAAGCTTATGCAGTCTATTTATTGTCTGCTTTATTGAGTTTTGGATGTAATTCAGTTACTCATGATGAAGTTGGACATGTACCGATGTCTATGATGTGTTATCCAAATTTAACAAGAGTGAAACTATATGACAAAACTATAGCTTCACCATGATTACCTACCAGCATGAGTGAAAACTCATGTGGCATGGTGTTGAAACTAACATTTTGTTTTTCCCTAAACCCTCTGATATCACTTAACAAATATATAGGTATATTGGGAGTGGAGTTGGGGACTGGACTGCTAAGCTCATGATCTGGGTCAGAATCCGGCTGATGTCAAGTAATGTTTCATCAGCTGTGGATCAACCCGGGGTCAGGAGACCCTCCGGGGTCCACCCAATGAGTACTCTTGGGAAAAGTGGGTACTCTTAATTAAATAATTGATTAAGGAGAAAAGCCTGACAGTTTAATGTGATCCTGGCCTTGAAACAGTACTTCCTAAGAAAGTACTGAATCCAAAACCCTTCATGGTACAGGAATATGTATGCGTATGAATATATATATATATATATATATATATATATATATATATATATATATATATATATATATATATATTCATGAGAGAGGGAGAGAGAGAGAAAGGGGAGGGGGGGGGGCTTAGTGAAAAAACAAATGTTAGTTTCAACTTACAATTAGTGTGACCTGAGTTTGCCCTTGTGCTGGTGAGGCCAATTAATGTCGTGAAGTCATAGTGCTGTATGTTTGGTACTTTTTAAAGAGCAGAGAAAGCCATAAATACAATTGAATGGCAACAAAAACAGTACCTGAAACATGTCCGTGTCTTCATCTGGCATATATTCGACAATAATCGCTTGATTTCGTGAGAGTGTATAGGAGATCGAATGCTGAGTTGTGTCCAAGATGGCCTGTAAAAAAAATTATTGCAAAAATTTAATAATAGTCTAAATAATATAAAATATATTCATAAATTTAAACACAACAAATCTTTATATTAATTCATAACTATTATGAATTAATGAACATGGGTAAATGGTTGACTGTCGTAAATAATGAAGAGAAGAATAGTTGGGGTGATCAGTCAAATAAGAAGGCAAAAATAAATGAAAATATTTATTTTGACATTTGCTGACGTTTCGACCTGAAGTTCAGGCCTTCATCAGGGCTGTCTTCAAAAGTATTAATGGAGAAGTGGGTGGCACTATTCTTCCCTTCTTTATATTAATTATTATTACATGTAATTCGATCTTGAATAGGAAAACAATAAATAACAAATGAGAAAAGAATAAGCTTGAGCAGCAGTGATCATCACTTAGGTTTTATTCCCACTTAATTTCGTTTAAAATACAAATCAAGAGTGACTTAATTATTGAAATATTCTGACAATTGATAATATAAAAATGGCTGGCTGGGAAAAAAAGTTAAGATCCCAAAAGAGACCATCTAACTCAACTTGAAGAAAGAGGTTTATAAACGTGTCCAAAAGCAGAAAAAAAATGGGGAGGATGGGAAAGGGAAATTGAGACACCAAAAGGCAGTTCTTCAATACAAACTAAATTCATTTACAAATTGTCAACTCTTTAGGCTAGGAATTGGAAACCAACCATAGCCTGTGAAGATATGAGACGTTTCAACAGTACTGGTGTACATTCTACTGAGTTATTGTGCAGTAGAATCCACTACATGAGTGAATATAAGCAAGCCTATCAGGAGCGATGGAAGAAAGGAAATTTCACGGTGAAGAAGGGAACCCCACGAATTAGAGAGGTTTAGTTGACCTTATTTAAAAATGTTGGTACTGAATAGTCGTAAAATTCGATGATTTTTTTTCTCTAAGGGAACTCCTATCCAAGCTGTAGACTTCATTGATACTAGTTCGACGTATATCTTAAAATTATTTAGTTTCTTTCACGTAACTTCTTGGCTAGGATACGCTGTAGAGGAATTATAAGCAAAAAAAAAAAAGAAAGCTATAAAATTTAGAGTTTTCTTTTGTCTGGCTTAAGTTCTCCAGAGATGTTCCCTGTTAATATTTTTTATGCATTTGATCCTATATTCACAAGTTTAAACAATGAAAGGTTCTACCCCACCATTTCCTAAATAATATTCGTTCCGATCGCCATAATATCTTTTAAATTAGCCTCAATTTATGAAATTAGCGGCTAAGGAATACACTTTCGTAATTCACATTCAAACCTTTCTCCTATTATGATTACCCTATTTCGGTCCTCGTTTCAGTACTAACCGTTTCGATCAACTGTAATATCTAGTTAACTTCTTGATTACAAAAGACTAGAGGCTTCCGTGTAGGTCGTTTCGCCTTTACTCCCGCATTAAGAGGAAGAGGAGTTGAAACTTGACGCAATTAAAACTAGGTTATATTAAAGTGGAACTACCCCTTGGCTAATTGACGCTTCCTTATTAAAGATGTTTGTACATTAGCTGACTAAGGAAGAGTTCTTCAGGGCGGAGGAGGGGAGGGCTTTGTCTGACGAGTCCTTGGCACGGGCCTTTGTTGTCTTGGAACCGGGTCGATCGTCTTCCATTGTTAGTTACACATCACTTAGCCAATGTCTCTTATTGCTCTGTCCCCACCTCTTTCTATCGCTCATTATATAATTAATTGCGTTATTTTAAATTACTTAAAACTAGTAGTCAAATCTAGCGTGAAATTTAAGAAAAGTACTTGTACTCACAAATTCTAATTATATAGACAGATGCTGATTTTATGTCTTGTGCACAGGTATGGTTTATCACAGAAGATATGGAATGAGGAAAGTTCGATAATATCCGATCATAATAATATTCGAAATTATCCAGAATACGCCAAATCATATGATTCATTCTAGTAGTAACTTTAATTACTCTGGAAGAATGCGGATGGAAGAAACTATAAAACTATGTTTAAGTGGTCCTTGAAGGCCTGTTAATAAAATTTAAAAAAAGTAACCACAAGAACAATAATGATTTTAGAGAGAATGCTTTTCTTGATATATGATTACATTTAGTAGCCGTAAATGCGCTATAATTTAAAAAGATATCTGCATATCGTACGTACCCTGTTAAATTAACGAATATGAATATAAACTGTTGATTATGATTATTCGTTACTACATCTATACTAATACATATCTCACAAAGCTATAAATTCTTAAAAATGCCATCACTGATTCCGGTCTTCCGGATGCCGAACACTAAGGCGAGCTAACGTTGGACATTGGGTTTGAAAGGAAAAAACGAAAGCTACAATTTGGAATTCTAGCTGCATTAGTGACAAAAAAAAAAAAAAAGAACCATATTGTCAACAAAGTATAATAAGATAAAAAATAAAAATAAATGAACATTTAATGTATTCCCGAATATAACTAAAATCAGTCAAAATTATAGGTACAAAAAATATGTCTCTTCTGTCAAATTTGACAAAAAATACCTCAAGGACCTGAAGATGAGATAAAACATATCAAAACGTATATTCAACTCATATAAAATAGACAACAAATAATATATATATAAATGGAGGACTCAGTTCACAAATCAATTATAAAAAATTAAATTAATGTCTCGCAATGAAAATTAAGGTTATGAATATTTTTTTCAATAGCTACGATAAATATTGTTTATTTATGTTTTTACAGACGACGAAAATAAAATTGAATGTTATCGATGCTTCATTTATAGTTATTCGTTTGTAGTAATTTATCGATTGTTGAAATAAACTAAATAAAAAGCCAATGATGAATTATGAAAGACATTGGAAAGGGCAACGCTCGGCAACGGCAGAGAGCGAACTAGTGCCTAATGACTCCCCTAACTACGGCGATTTGCGAACTGGCTTCGGGCGGATCTCACGCTCGTTGACACTGTCTAGCCATCCATTCGTCTCGGCTACCATTATAGATGGAATAAAGAATATACAATTTTGCTAATAGGGAAATTGGAAGAAATTGTATTCGAGAACTTATAGCATACGTAATATTGGGTTGGCAAAGAAGTACTTTAGGTTTTCATGTTTATTTTTCTGTCACTATCATGCACGTCTTATCTGATGAATTAACCCCTAAGGTGGATTGTTCCATATCCTTTTTGTAATATGTCAACAATTATATCTGTTAAATCTTGTTGAAACTAGCTTAGTATTGTGTTTGCTATTGCACTGTGAATATGGAAGAAAATATTTTGTTGTATTATTTAAAAAAAGGTAAGCGTGCTGCAGAAGCTCATAGAAAAATTTGCAGTGTTTATGGGGATGATGCCTTAATCGAATGCACCTGTCAAAATTGGTTTGCCATATTTCATTCAGGAAATTTTGACATCGATGATAATCAACGGTCTGGTCGCCCACATGGATTTGAAACGAGCAATGCTAAGGCCATTGTTGATCAAAATCCCACCCAATCAGTGCGAGAGATTGCTATGGCCCTAAATGTGTCTCACACAAGTGTAGAAAACCATTTGCACAAGCTCGGCTATCTTTCCAAGCTTAATGTTTGGGTCCCCCACATGATTTTTTTCTCTCGAAAATAACAAAAATATTATAACTTCAATAACACTTTAGCTATCTACACTAGCGGATCCAGGATTTAATTTTTGGGGGGGCTTCAGCCCGAAGGATTTTTTTTCATATATATAACGATAATTAATTTGAAAAAAAAATAAAAGAAAGAAACTAACTACCCATATGACATTGTGTCTTAGTTATTCTTGAAGTCATATTAAATGTAATTAAACGAACAATAATAGTTTAAGATATAGTTTTTAATATTTTTTTCTTTAAAACATGGTTATATATTCCCATTTTGGGGGGGAGCTTCAGCCCGAAAGCCCTCTCCCCCCGTAGATCCGCCTGTGGCTATCTATAAAAAATTTGGCAGGAATTTAGGGCTCCATAAACTATACAGAATGACATCAACAGGACCTACAAATGGAGATACAAAATAAAAACCTATAAGTTTTTATTTATTTATTCCTTATATAGGCATTATATAAATAAATAAAAAATCGTAGGGCTATGAAAAGCAATATTTCAGCTTTCTAACGGATACAGTAACATCGGAGAACATCCTGAAGAGTTATGAATGATCGAAAGGTGTCGTGCTCCACCAAGACAATGCTTGAAGGCCCTACTGCTCATTGTTCACTCGCAATAAATTATTGAGCCTAGGTTGGGACCTTTTACCCCACCCTTCCTATTCACCAGACCTAGCTCCAAGTGTGACTAACACTTATTCTGGTCTCTGCAGAACTCCATGAATGGAAAGGAATTCCAAAAGGAAGATAACATCAAAACCACTTGGATCAGTTTTTTAACAATAGACTCCAGACATTCTATGAACACGGCATTATGCAGTTAGTGGAAAGTTGTGAAAAAGTCATATTAAATAATGGTCAATGTATTGTAGATTAAAATAAATTTTATATCTATAATACATTGAGTTTTATTTCACCCTGAAAAATCGAAATGACTTATTTGCCAACCCAATACAATTCGTGCAGTAAAATCTTCAAAATAAGAATAACTCTAAAGTTTATAACAAACCTTCACATCGAATATGAACTTTTTATTTGCTGTGCATTTGCTAATATTGGTTCAATTATGTTTTTTGAAGTTTAACTTTGCAGAAAATTTGATCATTCTTCGAGTCAGCACCTGGAATGCCTTATGAAATGCATGGATTTATGGTTATTGAAAAAACTAAAAGAGTTTCCATAAGAATATGCCCAAAATACTTTTAAAAAATTAATACCACATATAATATTTGCAAATACTGGTCATGGTAGAAGATATAACTTTTCAACATGACTTTGCTTCTAAGGGAATCAAGATAACCACAGACCAATGACCGAAAATGCTACATATGCCAAAAACCTCTTAAAAAATGGATAGAAAAATTCTGTCACCACTGTGAAACTTCCTTACCCAGTCACAAAAAAGAGATCCAGGAACGAATTCTGAACTGATTATAAAATTAATACTAAAATAAAACAAATGTTGGCATAACAAACAGAGGTTGAGGTTACGACTTCAAGAAAACCTAACCCTCCTCCCTCTTCCTCCCCGTCAAATAAACCCTGTTTCCTTGGTAAAATCGGATTTTGCGTTATCTTCCCTCCCTCGTTTTAGCCCACCCTCACCGCCCAATTTCGTGACCCTCTATCTTTATGTTCTTTAATCAGTATACAGAATTAGGTGCCTATTCAACTGTGACGTTCAAAGACTAATGGTACATACAAGTATTTTATAATTTTTTAAATTAAAATATCCATATTCTAAAATGTTAATAAACGTTACGATTTTTCTTAAAGTAACGTAAAATATTTCTAAGAAATTGTTTTAATAACTAAATGGTTTAGCAGTATATATCTTGGAGTTCTGGCAATGGCCAGATTCTCCACTCAAGACATGAGTGCCTAAAGCGCTCTCGCTCAATCTCCGCTGGCTTTAGCACCAGTGACGCGGGTGGGAGAGTAGCACAGATATCTCTTGAAGTCCTGTTTTTCCCTCTATAGTTGGAGGGACAAAACTGGCTTGGGGTTCCCTGCCTGATTGTATATAGGTATGACTGAGTTTTTATGTTTTTAATTTACTTATCTTTAGGTTATTTTATTTTTTTATTGTATACAGTTGTTGATTATAATTTAGTTATTATTTTACTTTTGTTAATTTTATGTTTTCAGTATATATGGTGTTCATATATCACTATAATTCTTGTCCACATGACAAATTGTTATATTTCTAAATAAATAAATTTTAAAAAAATAACTAAATTAATTTTTTTTTTAATTCATTTTAAAATGTGAATGACATCCGATTCAGACATTGTTCTTGAAACTAATACCTTAACCATTGTTTGGTCCAAGCTTCCTCAAAAGTAAGTACCATAATAAGGTAATTCCTTCATGACTCAGGCAATTGCTACGTATTCTACCCTTAAGCTTTATACCAGATGGATCAGTAGTTTAGGTCAAGTCATTCAATTATGGTACGATTGCAGGAAATTTTTGACTTGAGTAAGTATAAAAGTATTCGTTACCGTAATGTTAATTCAAAAGCCCAATGACAAAAAAAACAGTGGGATAAAATCAGCCATTACAGATCCCAATGTATGTTTTACAGTTCGACAGCTCTACTCAAGGTCTACCGATTGCGTATTAAAGATGTGGTTATTGTGTTTAATAGGGTTCCAGTTAAAGTGTATTAGATTTGTTTTAATATATTTTGTTTCTAAGGTTTTATTTAAGGTTCCGATTAGCATGGCCATTGTCTCATTCTGTTAGGAATAATTATTAATTACAGTTTAACTCCAACTTTTGCAGACTTAACTCAAGAGCTAACTTAAAAATAATCAGTTTGAGAAAGAGAGATATGATGATAAAGATATATATATATATATATATATATATATATATATATATATATATCCTATACCCTGTCAACTTTCAAATACCTCCTTTTCCAATATCTCCTCACATCCCAAACAGAAGATTTACCACCATACATTTCATTTTATGAACTGAATTTGCGTGAAGTAAATACTGGTGCCTACTGTTTAAGTTTTAACATAAAACAGCAATGATCTTTGTCACCTAGTTTGACTATTATTTTTACTATTTATTTATTTTTCTCTTCTCCTCAGGTTGTGCTTTTTTTCGGGTATATATGTTTATATTTTATATCTTTGTCTTTATGTGTGCCAATATGAGAATGTACGTATAAATAGTTCCTTTTTTTTTTTTTTTTTTTTTTTCATTACACCACAAGTATCGTAAGATTTTATTTTATCTTAGTGTCTGCATATTATGATATAAACCACTGTAGATATTATCACATTTTGTATTAAGTTAGTTTTCTATTAGATAGCCTATTGTTTATAAATTGTGTAGTTATGTATATATAAATATGTAATTTCTCTTCTTTTTTTTTTTCATCACAATTAAGTAATTTTGAGAAGATTTTATGTTCGAGATGATTTTGATATTTGAGATGATTTTAAGTTTGAGAAGATTTTATATATTTTATTTTTTATTGGTTACATACTTTTTAAATAATGTATATAATATTGAAATTTTTATAAGTTAGTTTTTGGCCAGATTTGTACTTTACTTTGTATTAACTCATCATTGTTATTCTAAAGGGACTTAGTCCCAGAATAAAGTTTAATTTTCTATTCTATTCTATTCTATTCTATTCTATTCTATATATATATATATATATATATATATATATATATATAAGAAAATAAGTTACCTGACTGGCATGAGGCGTCTTGACGACGTAGTGCTTGGACCTCTTGATCCCGTTGGGCCGGTCCCGCTTGTAGAGCACCAGCTTGCTCCGCCTCCTGCCTTTGTCGCCCTGCGGCAGCGAGCCATTGTTCCTGCAATGCAAATAATAATAATAATATTACTTATCTAATATATCAAGGCCTAAGAATGATGTCGAAAAATAAAATAACAATTAATCCACTTAATGCTAATACTATTAGGTTATTATTGGAACAATTCAAAACCACATAGCCGTATGTCTCCGAAATGCAGGCAAAGAAAAAACCCTCAACGTTTCGCCAAATCACGCATCATCAGGACGAAAAAAAAAAAAAATGAAAATTTTGCTGCAAACTATTCCTGTTCAGTTAATCCAATTCATTTGGTGAAGTGTGCACATTATCAGTTACTTTCTTCAGAAATCACAAAACAAAGAAAAATGAGTTGCTAAACTTCAAGAGAACAGCCTGGTGAAGGAAGTATGGGGAGGAAGAAGAGGAGGCCAAGAAAATGAAGCTCGATTTCAGAAACCAAGTGAGTTCCAAATTAACTACAACATTTTATTCCAAAGCAAAATCACTGCCAACATGGCAATGTCATACGACAAATTTTAATTTCACCATTAACAATTAAAAATATAAATATTTATTTTATCTTTTAACAACAAAATTGTAAAGTCCACGAATTCCATTTCCATTTCTTAGTATTCAGTAATATGCAATATAATCAATATTTTGAATCATTCGTTTAATTTAATCATACATTAAATGTCAGTTATCTAACGTCATACAGTCCACAACAATTATCACAATCACCAGCTCAATATAATTCAATTACAGGCCAATGGGTAATATTTGGCTCACACCAAATTACCATGATCAAACAACAGCTAATCGAACATCACTCTATGATATCCAATCGCATACTCAACGTTCACGGGTTCATCTTTGCCTGCATTTTGGAGAAATAAGACTGTGCTTGGTTTTGGATTGTTTTCAATAACAATCTAAAATATATATTCTGTCTCTTAGTTATTTTGTTACTGATTTATAGATAATACTATTTTCAGAGAACTTTTGATTTTAATGATAATACTGAGTTAAAAAGAAAGTGTTATACTTTTAAGCTAAATTCAATGTAATATATAAATTGAACCAAGAAGCGTTTTCAACAGAGGAGGCGGCTTCACAGTGTGGGACGACTTATATTAATTATCTTCATATTTCTTGATAGAAATAGTTCTGATGAATAGCTACATAGTTGGGTAGAAACGTAGGCTTAATAAATAGTTTGAATTCTTTTGAGTTATTTCATGAACCCAGACTATCTTTTTTCTAAAAAAAAAAAAAAAAATACAATAAATAACAATTCTTCTTTCTTCTTCCTTTGCCAGGAATGGAGGAGGTGTGGTCTCGGTCCATCTTGTTCACTTGTCGCGCTTATTCGCCCTGTCCCTCATTTCTATCAGAGAAGAGCCTCTTACTCTCTACCTCGGTCAGCCTCAGGAACACTTTCCTTCTGATCTAGCCTCCATCAACCATTCCATCTTCCCTTCATCGCCCATTCTACTCACACGAAAAAAAACATTTAAGCAGGCGCTATTCTCCTACAACTCCAACTGGCGAGGATCCGAGGTTCTTCTGGATAATTCCATTTCAAATTAGGTTCCTTCAGGTTTTCTCCTGATCCTTTTCAGAAACCTCATCTCTGTTGCCGTCACTATGCTCGCAAGCCGGTTTAGGACTTTTAGTAGGCAAAACTACTAAGGAATATTGTTATAAATAGTAGGAGCATTGTATGGTTGCGTGTTTCGTACATTCCTGTGGTTTTAGAGAAAACTCTATCACTTTTTTATATAAATTGTTCAAAGGTCTAGGTACCTAACAAATTATGGAGGAATCCCATTACAGATCACCGATCCCTTATCTTCATATTTTCCAACCAGTATAAACTTGGTAGTGGATACCACTTGACATATTGCCTGATTAATGAGCTTTTTATTAACTTTTATTCTCTGAAGAAAATTAACTACGTTGTCATTATTACATACCATATAAAAACATAAAATTAAATATTTACTTAAGATAAGGTTTTAAAATTAGATATATAAACACATTTTAGGTATACTAATGAGCTAAAAATATTTTCAATACAGTAGTTATGGTACAAACTATAACTATTTTCCAAAGGGAATTTATGGAGCTCTTAAACGAATGAAGAATGAGAAGTTCCTTTTTCGAAAAATATCGAACCTTTTTGAAAGTATTCTTTGAAACTTATTGATTAGGCGCAGTGGTGATAAGCTGCGAGGGGAGGGTAAGTGGCCACTAGACCCGACGACGCTCTTCTGACGAGAAAGTGAAATTTTGTATTAAACCATGTCACAGATTTATGAGGCACGTATGGCTGAAAAAGTCTCTTTAGGAGGCAGCCATTCATTGGATAAAAAAAACCTAGGGTTGGAACACAGCGCAGTATAAAAATAAATTTTAAACCACTCAACACCCTTTATAATAGCATTGCCCAAATGCGAGACCGAGACAAGTCTTGGTCTTGCAAACTCAGTCTTGGTCATGGTCTTAGTCTTCCGCAAGAGTCTCGCAACATTCTTGCAGTTACTGATTAGCTTATTACTATAGAGATATTACTGTAATGTTTTGGATAAGAGAAACTTAACTAAGCCCGAACGAAAAAATAGAGGAGTTAAGTGCAAAAGTATATTGGTTATACCAATTATTTACATATAGTAATTAAGATTGTCAAGTATTAGTAACTATTTTGCCCTAATTTTTATTACAAAAATCGATATTTTTTACCAGTCCTGGTCTTGGTCTTGCAAAGTGCAAGACTAAGACCAATTTTGTGTAACACTACTTTATAAAAACATTAAAATGAAATGCATGTCGACAGTATAAATGCAAAACTAAAAGCGTTTTATAATTTATTAGAGAAAAAACAAACAAAAAAAACATTTTTAAATATTGTGAACTTTTAAAGGTTCATGCAACTGATGAGATAAGTAAGATTTTTCGAGTTTTCAGGAAATATTTGGATTTAAACATGAATGAAGTTTTATAATTTTTTTTTCCTTGATGGATTACCATTAACGCAAAAATAGGAAATGATTCCTTCATATTACGATACGTTTATTTACTTCCTAATTATTTTGTCATTTGTTCACCGATCAATATAGTTAGCGAATTATTCGTTCTGGTCAAATAGTTATCTGTCATAAGGTAAGTCATAGCAACCTCTGCAAAGTCAGTTCATGACCAACTATTGAACAGTAGGAAGAAACATTAAAAAATTATAACTTTAATCCATTGAAACAATTAAATTTTTTTTAAAAATAATTCTTATCACTTTCATTTTAATAAACCTTCTATTTTATGTTAGTTCTTTCCATGATCTGTGTTGTAATTACATCATTTCATTATCTTTCTTCATTTGTAATTGAAATTAAATAAAATTATAATTTTAAAAATAGCTTCAATGGATAAAATATTAATTAACAAGAGAGAGGAGACTGAAGGTAACAGATACAAGGTTACAAGGATACATTAATAAAAATTCCTCGATGCACAAGGAGGAAAAACTAAGTAATGTCGTAACAGCGGGGAGGTCAATACCCATTCTGTCAGCATCATAACTATCGATGGATGGCTACGGATATCATAACGTAAGGGTATTAAATTTAATCAATATTAAATTATTACGACACATGTATACGATATTATGGGACAGTTCGTGTTCATGGTTTTATAAGAAAGGTAATATAATTAAACAAAAGTCAATTCAAGAGAGTATAATTTAATTTGTAGTTTCCACGACAAAAAGTCTTTCGAAGACAAAGGATTTTGATAGCAACTTAATATAAAATAGCTAGTTGAAGTGGTTTAAAAATAAATAATTAATGCTCCCTATAAGCGAAGTTTAATTTATAATTGATATAATGAGACGAATTGAATTTCTGGATTATTTTATTTATTTATAATTTTTTTATGACCAGGAAAAGAATAATACTAGCGCAAACACCTTCATGACGAACAAAATATTAATCTATCAACTTAATAATAACAAGTTTAATCATTAAAAAAAACCCGTATAAATAGGAATAATTCACTAACATCTGATTATTACTCAATCTAAACTGTATTTAAATATGAAATTTATGAAAGATAATAATAATTAATTAATAGCCATGGAACGAAACCCCAACTTGGGATTTTATATTCAACAGCTTGAACTGAAACCGGTTTAAATATGAACCTGATTTTTTTATCGGCTAGAGTAATTATGGCAACTTTTTTATTTTTTCCTTAAAGCTACCACATCCCTTTATGTAACGACTATTTTCGCATGACCTTGAGAAGTGGTAAATTAAATCGATTTTCCTGTTTGGGAAATGTCCAGAAAAAAAATACGACCTTCGTTTATCGAACTCCTGACTTAAGAATATTCTTTCACTTTATATATGTCCCTTCGTAGAGAAAATAATGTAAGTTCTGCTATTTTTGCAATGCAATTATGTTTTAATGACAGTTCTCTATGACTGCCATACGGTTTTGAGTTCTCTATAACTCATACGGTTTTGGCTCGGTTATGTTCTAGTCTAGACACGAGTTATATTATGACCTAAGTCATGGTTATATTCATAAGTTGTATATGCATTTTAATTTAGAAAATAGAACACATTTTGATTGTTTATGTATTTAGTTGAGATTACTCACAGTACCAAATATGGATCAGTGAAAAAAAAAATCTATCACGTAAGGTCAGACTAAATCTATAACTTCCTCATTATAATTACCGAAATTTTCCATCAATCAGAACGAAACTAATTAAAAAAGAAATATAACAATATGAGTAAAGTCAACAAATACAAGAAAAGAAGACCTGTACATACTTAAAAATTATCGATACTTATATCTTACTTACCCTTCAACAATAAATATCTCAAAAAGCTATGGAATAAGGCCCCTTAATATTTTTAATATATCAATGCCTTCTACATTTCACAGCCATTATCTTTTTAACACTTATTTCTATAAATTTTAATTGTTAAATAGAATTCAATGAAATTGATACTAAGCAATTTGTACAAAATTCTCCATATTTTTTCCA